ACACAAGATAATGGCCAAACCAGGATAAACAAAAATCCCAAGCACAAGAAGCAAGTTCCAGAAACCCAACCTGCCCACAAAAGCCTTAAGCGCACACGACCCAAATAATATCAGGATACTCACGAAGCCAACGCAGCCAGCACACAAAAATCCACACGAACCCGAACAACTCAAACGCTAAGAGCGGCAGGCTCTGATACCCTGTCAAACACACGAGTTCTTATACGAGGATCACACGAACACACGAGATTACGTGGTTTCCCCAACGATGATCGTTGAGACTCGTCCACGGCACTACGGCAGAGAGTTCTTATTATCACCAAAAATACTTGACCTAGGCGGCCATACAACACACGTATATATACAAGCTATTAACCCTACTTTGGACAATTGCAAATTGGCACTTAAACTTCTAACAGAGCCAATACATATGTCATCACATCTTCTTCATGAGTATTAAGAAAATCTACACAAACCTATTTCAAAATCTACTTAACGTAGGAGATACCATATGGTATGGAGATGGTAAAGAGTGGTATGAGTGATATGAATTTTTTCCTCAAAATACATTGAAATGAATATCATTTTAATTAAACAGCCCAACGAACTCGTTCCATCTATGCAAAAATTGAAATCCAAGTTAGATCAAAGAAAATAAGAGCCGATTAAGAAAATTTGAGAAAATAAAAAAGGTTTTAATTGCCCAATCCTTAGATTTGAACTTCATATAAAATGAAAAATTCAAATTTAATTATGCAAGATTATACGTGAATTGAGCCAATATGAGCTAGATACTTTACTAATAAGTAACACCTTAGAAACTTTATTAATATGCTTCATAGCCAATCCATGTCATCACATCTTCATGAGTATTTAAAAAACAAGTATTTTTTACCGCCGGAAAGTAAATGAACTGTTACATCAAATCTCCACCAACTAGCCACTTTGTCACTTGAGATCCTTACCCTTACTGCTTCTTACCTTTCTTACCCTTAACCTTCTTATCCTTTTTACCGCTGGGTTTTCCTCCAGGGGATCCTGCCCCAGGAACCTTACCCTTCTTATCACCGCTGGGTTTTCCTCCAGGGGACCCTGGCCCACGAACCACTGGCGGTGGCGGCGGCGGCGCTGGTGCCATCTTCTGTAGCAACTTTCTTCTCTGTCCAGCTTCTTGACCCGAGCCGCCGTCGTCGTCGTCCATGTTCTTGCAAATGCTCAGCTTCCCTTTACATGGCGACGATGCTGGATTGTTGGGCTGCAAGGTGGTGGCATGTACACTTAGCATCGACAGTGCTACCAAGAAGAGATGAAGAAGAAGATGATGAGCCATTTTCTTTGTATTAGCAGGCAAGAATGAAGAAGAAGGTGATGGCTTGAGGAGTGATGCTATTTCTCGTAGTAGCAGAAGTCTTTTTATAGCAAGCAAGAATGTGGGATTGCATCAGCATTTGCCAGGACTTTTTAAGAACAATTTGATGTTTAGTTTATAGAATATATACTCGAGTCAACTCTTCGGTTTGGCTACTGCAGGCGTGTATATATATACAAGCATAATTTAGTTGAGTCAATGGTTTATATAAAATGAAGTTATGAATCACATGTCCAATTTAATAAGGTTAGTTTTAGGTTTCTTTTTTAGAGAATTTTTTTATATAGAAATGGATGCAAAGAGATAGCGCCATATCTTTCAATCTATCCTCTTCAATTGACATGTAGTTTGACTGTGCGAATGAGAAGCGCGATTCTAATTAAAAGAAATTTTTTAGTGATATGAAAGATTAAAATCGTAAGTTTTAAGTTTTAAAATGTGATTTTGACTAGTAACTAAAAAAAACAAGATTTTATGTATAATTGTTTTGGTGACAAAAAGCATAAAATCGTAATTTTTTAATATAAGTAATCATCAATGAATTATAGTCTCGGGCCGAATCTGTGATTTAATTTGTAGCTTTCAAAATCCAAGGAAAATGGCCTTTCAAAAAAAGCGCCCAAAAAAATACGAAAATGCCATCCGAAATGAATTCGCCCAAATCGGTACTTAATAAACTTAATCTTCGGTGGAGAATAGGATCAATAGACTTCATTATCATTGGAGAATAGTCTCGGAATGAATCCGTGATATGTAGCTTTCAAAATCGAAAGAAAATAACATTTCGGGAAAATCGCCCGAAATCCGTGATGGTGCCCCTTTGGAGTATGCCAAAAAGGGACACGGAAGAACTCCACCCAAATCGGTGCTTAGTGGACTTAATCATCGTTGAAGAATAGCCTCAGATTGAATCCATGATCTATAGCCTTCAAAATCCAAGGAAAATGGCCTTCCGAAAAAAATTGCACAAACAATTACGAAATTACATCCGAAAATGAATTTGCTCAAATCGGTGCTAAAGGGACTTAATCATCGATGAATTATAGTCTCAGGCCGAATTTGTGATCTATAGCCTTCAATATCCAAGGAAAATGGCATTTCGAAAAATCTCCCAGAAAATTACAAAAATGCTCTCCATAAAATATCCGCCCGAATTGGAGATTAATAGACTTTATCCTTGGTGAAGAATAGACTCGGCTCGAATCTATGATCTTGTTACGAGACGATCTATCGTAATAATTCGGGCATTTTCTGAGCTCATCTATTTAGTAGTTTATTAATTATTAAGTGGGATATTATTATTATTGTTTCCTAGTCTTGGTAGGATTGTTATTATCTTTTGGTGTTTGTTTAGGATTTGGTTGTGGTGTCCTTGTAGGAGAAGGGTACATTCTATGGGTAGGAATAGGGAAGAGTGGACTGAAACCATAAGGAAGAAGGAGAGGATTATGTGCCTATAAATATGTAATGTCTCATTCGTTTAATGGTATGAAGAAGATTGGAACCCAAATCTAGTTTACTGTCTTTCGTTTTATCGCAATTTATCGCGTTTTATCGTAGTTTGTTAGTTTTATCGCAAGTAGGTTACGAGTCAAGAATTCTTCAATTCTGTGTCTCGTAACCGATCTGAAACCTTCAAAAAATTGCCAAAAAAATTCGCCCAAAACATTACAAGTTTGATCACAACCTTGCTCCTTATCCTTTTCGAATTTCATTTTCTTTCCTTACAAGAAACACTAATCCTATTTCGACTAGGAAAAATAATTAATATTAACCTTAAATAATTCCAAATAATACTAATACGAATAATTGAATGAAGCTACACAAACCTAATTATTATTCAAAGTGCTACGTACGTCCGCTCGATCTCATAACTCACCGCTGCCAGCATACATATGCATACGGTGAATTGAGCCAATATTACACTTTACTAATAAGTAATACCTTAAAACACTTTATTAATATGCTTTATAATAAGTAGAGCCAATACATATGTCATCACATCTTCTTCATGAGTATTTTTTTTTTTTACCGCTGGAAAGTAAATGATACTGTTACATCAAATGTTCACCAACTAGCTAGCAACTTTGTCACTCTCGAGATCCTTACCACCCTTGCGCTGCTTCTTGCCCTTCTTATTCTTGTTCTTTTTATCCTTTTTACCGCTGGGTTTTCCTCCAGTGGATCCTGCCCCAGGAACCTTGCCAACATTTCCTTTCCCACCAATATCCGAGCCCACCACTGGCGGCGCTGTTGCTATCTTCTGTAGCAACTTTCTTCTCTGGCCAGCTTCTTGACCCGAGCCGCCGCCGCCGATGACGCAGGCCAGCTTCCCTTTGCTTGGCGGCGGCGAGGCTGGATTATTGTTGGGCTGCAAGGAGGTCGTCGCAGCAGTAGTAATCTGTATACTTAGCAGCGACAGTGCTACCAAGAGAAGATGAAGAAGAAGACGACGAAGATGATGAGCCATTTCTATTTCTTTGTATGATATGGCGTGAGTGATGCTATATTTCTCGTAATAGAACCACCCTTCTAATTATAGCAGCAAGAATGTGGAATTGCATTCACATTTGCCAGACATTTTAAGAAAAACTTGATGTTTTAGTTTGTAGAATATATAGTACTCAAGTCAACTCTGCGATTTGGCCTATTGCATAATTTAGTTGAGCCAATGGTGTATATAAAATGAGGTTATGAATCACATGTCCAATTTAATAAGGTTAGTTTTAGATTTATTGGTTAGAGAATTTTTTTTTTATTTTTATATAAATGGATGCAAAGAGATAGCGCCATATCTTTCAATCGATCCTCTTCAATTGGCATGTAGTTTGACTGTTTGCTCCTCCTGATCGATGTAGTCAGAAGCGTTTTGATAATCTAGAAGGGTTAAAATCATAAGCTTTTAAATTATTAAAACATGATTACACTTGTAAGAAGAAGAAAAAAAGTAGAATCATTTTGGTGATAAAGAAGTATAAAAACACAAGTTTTTAAGCGCAATTTCAACTAAATTTCACCTGATAGCAAGCCCCTTAGCGGATGTTCTTTTTTCAAAGAGCCGAATCAAAGTAGAGTGTTGAACAAGTAGGAGTAATGGTTGAGTTTTATCATGGCGAACTAAATGGAGTTCCGTTATATTAATCCTATTGCGGCAAAAAAAAAAAAAAAATTGGTAGACGCGATCAACTGATTGAAACCTTTTGAATTAGATCGCGTGCTACTTTGAAATAGGACGGTATTTTTTTCCCTAGTAATCCAAGGAATTGGTTTATTTTAAGATATGCTTGGGTTGCTCTGCTTTTCTTTTTTTTCTGACAAATTTTTTTGAAACCAACTTGAGTGTTTTTTTTTTAATAGAAATAAAATCAAGGTGGGTTTGTAAACCAAATATGTTCACATGGTATATACTCTTTATACGTGACTCTGCCATAGGAAATTGGGAACAAATTAGCACTTTTGTAGATGACCCTTTGCGCTCTCTCTCACGTTGCTCTTTGTGCATGAATTAGAAATGAAAATGGCCATCCATTGGTCCATCCAATTTATTTCATGCATTACCATGTCTTGCTGTAATTAAGCTGTTGTTCATGGAGATTTGTCATTCAACTCTTTATTCGAACTTATTGCACACGAGACTGTCCTTTGATATCATAATAGAAGATAAACTTACCTTTCAACACATATTCAAGTAGGTATTGCTTTAAATTACAGCAGAGCATATTACATTACACATAGATGGTTATTTAATGAGAATACATCTCTTTATTTTTATAAGAGTGATATATGTTTTACTTTATTTGTGACGGGTAGTCGGGTACTACTTAAAAAGATTTAAATTCAAGACCTCCGGATTCAAAACTCGTGGTGGTATAGAGCTTGTTCTTGATGAGAATGCATCTTGCTGGCGCTCCATCAGCTCCAACCAGCCTGATAGGCAAGCAATGAACATTGTACCGCCCAGCTTCAACGTCATCAAGCTTCATGCCTTCAACGACAATGATTTCCTTGAACAAACAGAGAACAAAGCTGTGTCATTTCACACGTTGATCAATAGTGAAAAGTAGAATCCAATTTCTTTTTTCTTCTTCTTCTTCTCTTTTCCTCTTACCCTGCTCTTCAGGAGAGCTAGATGAGCCGGACCATCCTCGACATAGGCACCAACAGATATGTAATCAACTCCTGAGATTCAAAACACCAGAGCCCAAATTCCTTAATTCTGTGAGACCATTCATTTGGTAGCTTCTTCTTCTTCTCGAGGTTAGAAGGAATGTTAGAAAAAAAAAAAAAAAAAAAACTTACCAACAAGTTTGATGTCTGTGTTGTCCACAAGCCACTGTGCCCCGTCGGCCATGAACCCGACAAAGCTCGAATCGAACTCCGTCTTGTACATCAAACGCCTGAAAATGGAAACCCACCACAACCCGCAGATTCACATTCAACTCATATAATTGTTCATATGGTAGGAAATGTAAAGGGTTGCAACGTTTCTTTCCGTTTTTACCTATCGGTATTCAGAGTCCTGAACAACACACGCCTGGTTCCTTTTGGGATTTGCAACGACTTCATAACTTCAGCTGTTTGCATTCACCAGTAATGTTACAATAAAATTTCATTAGAGGAAAAAGCTATAGCAAATGATGGTTATACCACTACTTTACCAGTAATGTTACTGTCCCTGGGAACATCAACCAACAATGCTGGGCCTGCAAAGTAAAAAAATTGGTAATTGTTATGGGACAATCCAAATATCACATCAGTAATACAAGAGTAGGCGGAACCCTTGTAATATAAGTGTCCACCAAGCTCATTAGTACGATATTGTCCGTGCGCTTGAAGTTCACACTCGACTAAACCCAGTAATTCTAACAGCCATTCTTAGAGAATTGATTTTAGTTTACCGTTGAGGACGGCCATGTCGAGGGACTCGAGGGTATAGCCGGCGTCGTAGTAGTCCTGGTAGAAATGTCCCGGCGTGTCGACGTGGGTCCCGGTGTGGGTCCCCAACCGGTTGATCTCGCCTTCGTTAACCTCCGAGCCGTTCTTTATGCTCTGCACCAGCGTATACACCGGGCCCACCCCGCCGGCCGAACCGAACTTGCACAGGTTGGGTTTCAGCCCGTGGGTAATGTCGAAGATCTGGCCGTTACCGTACACCTCCCTCACCTCCGCCGGCGGCAGCCCGCCGCTCGCGGCCGTTACCAGGAGGAGGAGGAGGAGGAGGCAGAGTTCCTTCATGATGATCGTTTGAAGTAGAAGTAGGAGAGAGAGGGCGAGAGATTGTGTGTGTTTTGTTATAAACTTAGAAGTGTGATATATATATATAGTAACAATGGTGTCGGTGGTAGGGCTGGCTATTTGGTCCGGGCTATTTGGTCTTACCCGAAACCGGACCGTATAATCCGGACCGGGATCGGGACCGGACCGGATAGCATACAATCCAATCCAATATTCGGTCTTAGATTTGAGGTAAAAAAACCATTTGGGACCGGATCGAAAACCGGATAAGAGAGCACAACACCAAAACTTAACCAACTCCTCATCGAAAACCGGATAAGAGAGCACAACACCCAAAACTTAACCAACTCCTCACCCTTTGAGTTCGTAGGCCACTCAAATCCCCACAAGCTCAATCTAAAATCAAGACCGAATTGAGATCCGACCGGGTCAAGACCGGACCGGATCAAGACCGGAGTGTATCCAATCCAATCTTTGATTCTTATATTCATGAAAAGGCCGGACTGAAACCGGATCAATTCGGGCCAATTTAACCGGACCGTATAGCGACCCCTACATGGAGGATTCAAAGAGTGAAAGATATGGTGCCAAGCTTCAAAGAGTGAAAGATATGGGCGGGGAAAGGACAAAGAGAGGGTGGTTGAATATTAAGATATTTGTTTATGGAATACGTACAGTTATTATTGCAGTTACTACTGCGATGGGACGATGCATGCAACGTACAGTTACTTTTGGACAAACTGCAAGGGGACCATGCATGCAACGTACAGTTACTTTTGGACAAACTGCAAGGGGACCATACATGCAACGTACCGTTACTTTTGGACACGTACCATGCATGCAACGTACAATTATTTTTGGACACGTACAGTTACTATTTCAAGGGGGACCATGGATGCAACGTGGAGGGGAATTCACTCGACGATCCAAATGAGACGAAAACGGTCCATCCCGGCGGGACCATTTTCCCGGCGTTCGAAACGTGAGGGATTCGCCGGAACGCAGATTTGCTTGTTTTGTCCTCGCTGTCGCTGCCGACGATGTCTATTATTGGTTTGATTAAAAGAGGTCATTCTCTTTTTATTTTTCTTCCCCTTTCTATTTAAAAGCTAACAAGATCGAACAGAAATCCACCAATTTCTGTTTCAATAAACAGAGAGAAATATCATCAAACAAATATCGATTAATGTCGTTGATCACGTACGATTTATCGAACCGTTCATGTCATGTCATCTCATCAAACATCATCATCATGGCACACGAGCTTTTGCTGGCGTTTCCTGTAAGCAGGGGCGGACCCACCTTGTAGCAAGGTGTGTCACCCGACCAGTGGCGGACCCAGAAATTTTCCATAGGGGTGTCCTCTTTTAAAAATAAATTAAATAAAAATAAAATCGTAAATTTGAAAATACCTTACTCGTACAGGTTACAAAAGTCCATGATTTATTTTCATAATCGGAAATAATTGTAGAATACACTTGGTGTCTATAGTGTTAAAAAAATTGTCTCTATATACCCTACTAGACAATCATTCACGAACTTATCGCATATTCGATTTGTAAACTTGTTCTCGATGTAACCAAAGCTGAAAGACTCTTTCAACACTTGCCGTTTTAAGGGTAGCTTGAAATTAGTTTAATTATTAGGTTTTTAAAATAATTAGAGATAGAAAATGACATTTTACTATTACATTTTTCAAAATCGAACAACAAATGAGTTGTAGGTCAACGAAAATTAAGTTTATTAATAAGAATAGTGTTCTAGATTTGAATTACCCAATATACCACTTATATTCCTATACACAAATGACAGTAGGATAATCATGTTTTCAAATTTCAGGGGTGTCGCTCACTATCAATTATATTTTATTTTTGTCCATACTTAAATTTCTACCGGGGTTGGATAATCGTATTCCCAAAATTTTCCTAAAACCCCTTGGGTCCGCCCCTGCACCCGACACACCTTGCTCCGAAATTTTTGTGAGGAACCCATATTTTTTTGGTGTAAAAAAATTCCTACACGGGACACACCTCCAATAATTATAATCGACACACCTTAACCTTATTGCATTACAAAACATTTGTTGTGGTGATAGTATTAAAATATGTAAATATAAGAGTTATCGGATTTCAGATTAGGTAGATAATTAGTTGGTTGTACAAGAGTAAACAATTAATTGACTACTTACTACGTAGTGAGTATTCATAAAGATAACTATCACCTTAGAGATAACCTAAATAAATTGAATGAAAATTAAATTAATTAATAATCTGGTTGAGTCAAGTAATTAGATAGTGAATTCGATATTGTCTTTCCCGACAACTTCTTCCATGGATTCTTCTTAAGTTAACATTCTACATGCTTTCTAGTTTAGCTATTTCTTTTTACGTTGATGCCTGTCGCCACCATCTATTTCTTTGATATTGTCCATAAAAAAAAAATTGGGAGCAAATTGAGAGAGATTGAGAAGAGAAATTAGGGTTATGAGATTGATTATTGAGTACAAGTGATATTGGAATATGAGATTACCGTAAAATATTGGTAATGATAAAAGAGTTCTTAACCAAAGTGACCAGATATGCATTTTTCGTACCAATTAAGACAGACTTTTTAATGACCAATAATTTTGGTGACAAAAATACCATTTCGACAATTACATTTTTTGGTCACAAAATTCATGTATGGTAACCAAATAAAAATTTGATCTTAAGGAAATGTGACCAAAGGTTTCCACCAAATATTTTTGGTCACCAAATAGGTTTGGCGACCCATATTTGACTTTATAACGACTCTTAATGTTCGCCACGATTTTTTGTTTTGTTTTACATGAATAAATATGTGTTAAATGATTGATGATACTGCTTGATACCTGTGATGATGTGACTAACTAATAAAGAGTTTCTTGATAAGAACATGTGTTGTCCCGCAATACAAATCGCGATAAATCGACCTATTTGATTAAACTCTTTCGAACCTTATTTCGGTGTATTTAGGATCATTCCTATACACAGATCACCACCAGCGCCGCAAGCGCGCATATATGCATATACTTGAATCGAGCCAATATTACACTTTAATAATAAGTAATACATTAAACACTTTATTAATTAATATTCCTTATAAGTTGAGCCAACATATGTCCCATCTTCAAAAGTATTTTTTTTATTTTTACCTCTGGTAAGGAAATGAAACTGTTACATCAAATGTTCACCAACTAGCCCACTTTAGTTTGTTACTCGAGAACCTTACCCTTAATTACTGCTTCTTACCCTTACTCTTTTTATCCTTTTTACCACCCGTAACTCCTCCCGTGGACCCTTTCCCAGAAACCTTGTCATCATTTATATTTTGTTTACGGTATCTAATTTTCTATTCACATGCGGCCCAATGCTCTTCTATGTCCTGGATCTGCCGCTGCTGCACTGGCGCAATCTTTTGTAGCAACTTTCTTCTTTGGCCAGCTACTTGACCCGAGCCGGCGGCGGAGTCGTCGATGATGCCGACCAGCTTCCCATTGCATGGAGACGATGATTTGGCAGCAAGGCGGAGGCCGCAGTAGTAGTAATCTGTACACTTAGTAGCTGTTGGGTATTTGCGGAAGTAATGGTAATTTTGGATCAAGACAAAGGAAACATTTGGTGTTTAATCACTCAATTTAGGAATAAACTTAACATAAGTATAGCCTTATTAATTTGGCTTATACTTTTACACTCACAAAAGATGGACGAGATACATATGGCGTACTTGTGTCTTTCTTTCTTTTCTTTCTTATGCCCACACTCTGACACTCTCATCCCCATACGTTTACTACATACATATTTATATAATTGGAAAGGAAACAAGCTATTAACTCACCACATGGTTCTATTTCATTATTATGCAGAGACATATGCATGTGTCCAGTGCGTATGATTAATCCCACCAATAAAGAACGTGGCCCTTCATGCATTGATGCTCACTTGTCTTGTCTTCTGATCACTTATCCATCTGTTGAGATCTACTTTGATAATTCACCAATCATTCATGAAGTTATATCTTTCTGGCAAGTAGGATGAGATGTTCCTGTTATGCAAATGGGTTGTCTGTTGATGTGATAGTAGTGGGCACATTTTGATGGTGATAATTGCAAATTACCATTTGATACCCCCTCTTAATTTGCAATTTGGAGTAGCTCTTTGAACTTCTCGAATTTTTCACGGGTAACCGCCTTTGTCATGATATCTGCTGGCTGGTCGTCGGTGTTGATGAATTCCATCATGATTTGTCCTTCGTTGACGAGGTCTCGGATGAAATGATGACGCAACTCGATATGCTTCGATCTTGCGTAAAATACTGGATTTTTTGTCATGGCTATGGCTGACATGTTGTCACAATGAATAATGGTTGGACCATATGGTATGGAGATGGTAAAGATCTGATGAACTCGTTCGTTCTGAATAAAAAATTTCAAAATCTACTTAACGTAGGAGATACCATATGGTATGGAGATGGTAAAGAGTGGTATGAGTGATATGAATTTTTTCCTCAAAATACATTGAAATGAATATCATTTTAATTAAACAGCCCAACGAACTCGTTCCATCTATGCAAAAATTGAAATCCAAGTTAGATCAAAGAAAATAAGAGCCGATTAAGAAAATTTGAGAAAATAAAAAAGGTTTTAATTGCCCAATCCTTAGATTTAAACTTCATATAAAATGAAAAATTCAAATTTAATTATGCAAGATTATACGTGAATTGAGCCAATATGAGCTAGATACTTTACTAATAAGTAACACCTTAGAAACTTTATTAATATGCTTCATAGCCAATCCATGTCATCACATCTTCATGAGTATTTAAAAAACAAGTATTTTTTACCGCCGGAAAGTAAATGAACTGTTACATCAAATCTCCACCAACTAGCCACTTTGTCACTTGAGATCCTTACCCTTACTGCTTCTTACCTTTCTTACCCTTAACCTTCTTATCCTTTTTACCGCTGGGTTTTCCTCCAGGGGATCCTGCCCCAGGAACCTTACCCTTCTTATC